CACCAGCCTCTCCTGCCTCCTCAGAAGAGCTAAGGATGTCTGACTACAGTTTAGGCCTGCTCCCCGCTGGCAAGTGGACATCCCCCGAGGGCTGCGGGGCTGCCAGAGGGATGTATGATTGCCATCTTAGTCCCAAACCCTGGGGAGCAGGTCTAAGCCAGCAGGTGGTCATTCCCTGAGGGGTCCCAGACTGCGAGAGGGCACAGGCCCGTCTGAGGGACTCCCCCTTCCCCTGAGTGCACAAATTTTTGTGCACCGGGCCTCTAGTATAAAATAAATATCAAAAATATAAATCTTTGTTTTACTATTGTTGCAAATATCAAAAAATTTCTATATGTGACATGGCACCAGAGTTAAGTTAGGGTTTTTCAAAATGCTGACATGCCAAGCTCAAAAGGTTCGCCATCACTGTCCTATATGGTACTATAAGAATGGATACATATCATTATACATTTGTCAGAATCTGTAGAATGTACAACACCAGGTATAAACTATGGGCGTTGGTTGACAACAATATGTCAGTGTTGGTTTATCAGTTGTAACAAATGTACAAATATTGGAGGGTGGGAGAATAGGTGCCCTGGAAAGGATGGGAATATATGGGAGCTTCCTGTACTCAGATTTTCTGTGAACCTAAAACTAGTCTAAAAACAAAGTCAATTAATTAAAAAATAGAATTTATAACACAAACAGTGAGCCCTAATGTAAACTATAGACTTTAGTTAATAATAAAAATATAGCCTGACTAGCATGACTCAGTGGTTGAGCATCAACTTAAGAACCAGGAGGTCACAGTTTGATTCCCAGTAAGGGCACATGGCCAGGTTACGGGCTTGATCCCCAATAGGGGTTGTGCAGGAGGCAGCGATCAATGACTATTTCTCATCATTGATGTTTCTATCTTTCTCTCCCTTCTTCTCTGAAATCAATGTAAAAAATTATTTTTAAAAGTAGCTGTATCCTCAGAGGTAGTGAATACCGATTCTGGACCAGGAGTTCTGCTTCCAGGGTTTTTGTGGAGGAGCAGATGAGGGACATGGACAAGGGCAGGGTCTGCAAAGATGCCTTCTGTGTCCAGGGATGTCTCTTTGTCCTGTCTGGGTTGTAAGTTTCTTGGTCACTGCCCTTGTTTTTCTGGGTTGGACTTTTCATTTCAGACAGAACTCTCCCTGGCTTTGTCTAAGATGGCTTAAAGCCTCTGAGGTTCTGCAGCCATTTATGAAGTTTTATAAGTTATCCCTGGTGAGGACTTAATAAAGCCTGGTTATTATTAATCATGTATGAGTATTTGAAATATGGGAATTACTGTCTTAAAACCTTTAAATTCTATTCACAGACATTTGGTGGAAATTTACTTGGTATTTAAGTGAATTTGTCTAAAATTTTACGTCTATGTAGATTGAAGGAACTAGCTAAATACTAAAATGATAAGTTTGTTAATTTACTATTCTAACAAGTTTTCATATCAATTCACAGTTACTTTGTTACAGAAACAGTTTGTAAATTCTACAATCTAAATATATAAAAGTCTAAGTGACTGTCCAACTGTTCGACCATCTGACCAGTAGCTATGACACACAATGACCATCATGGGCAGATGCTCAATGCAGGGGCTGCTGAGCTGTGGTGACTTGGCAGCTAAAGTTCTCGGGTGATGCACCCGGAACCAGAGAGGAGGGAGCCCAATTCCAGGGTGCATTACCTGAGAAACGCTCTTTTGCAATCTGGGACCCCTCAGGGGATGTCGGAGAGCCAGTTTTGGCCTGATCCCTGAAGGCCAGGCCGAGGGACACCCCCACCAGTGCACGAATCTGTGCACTGGACCTAAAGTAGTAAATATAAAATACATTCCCTTGTTAAATCATTTTTTCTATAATATAAATGAGGACACTGACTTCCTTATTTTCTTATATATATATAGCTATTTTTCCCCTTAAAAAACATAATTTACTTCTTAGGCAGTAGAATTAAGGGAAGAACTCTAGTTTGAAAAATACTTGTTTATTTGATCCCAAAAGAATGAAATAGTGTCCAATCTTATTGCAATTGATAGTTCAATACAACACAAAAAATCTTTAAAAATGTATTTGAAAAGTCCCAAGTTTTGTGACTATTTGTATATCTGATATGAGTTAATATCAATGATAATATTTTGGTCCATTTTATGGACCTGTTAGTCATTGTGTACACTGAGTTATTTTTAATTTTGCTATTAAATAATTTGTTTAATATTAAGTAGTGAAAGGACATTTGGATATTAGATCTTGAGGGAAAAGTGGGTGACAGATGATAAGTTATCAAATACAAGTTTCAAAAATAGACATCCATTCTTACTAATGCAAGACATAGAGTTTTACTATCTAGTTAAAAAATTTTAAGTTGAGTTATTTGTGTGTGGTTGAAATGATAAAGATTTTATTGCCATTTTAAGTTATCAGCATTAAAAAAGCAATTAACAAAATTCCATTAATAAAAAAGACAAAATACTTTTTAGCGTGCAAATATTTATTAACAGAAACTACAATAGTACAAGGAATATTTTCTTACACACAAAATTAAAGACCCAAACACTAAAAACGATTTCTCATATTCTAATAGTCAGTGGGGTGATGGAGGCATCAGTGAAAGTCATTGCAAATACATGTGAACATTACATGAAATGCACAATTAGTTTCATTTCAGCAGTAGGCAGCCACCTCTTTTTTGGTACAGCCTACATTACAACACTTATCAGATAATAGGTAAGAGACCTCTCTCTTTTTTAGGAAATGTTTAACTAAGCGTATGTTTTTTAATTCTGAAAGACTTTTGTTTTCTGTTTCACTTTGTCTCTGGAGACCATTTTTCTTAAATTCTTCAAAGTTAAGATTTATATCCTTTGATGAAGCTTGTTGTAGTAGCTCTGTCAATAATGGCTGCCTCTCAGCCAGTGTTGTCTGAGAACTAGGAATGAATTCCATCCTCATATTTAAGGGTTCTGCAGTCTTGGTGGTGGAAAATGGCATGATTTCTAAGTTAAAAAAAAAAAAAAGAGGAGGAGAAGAAAAAATACCCATGTCAACGGACATCAGGAAAACTAAAAATTTGCATAGATATAAAGGAAAGCATTGTCTCAATAAAATTAAATATCAACATAATCAGCAACTATCCTAATATGTAAACAATTTAGTTCATATAGTTGGGCAGTTTAAAATACTACAAATTTACCAAGTTTATAATGCTTTATTCCACTTGGACCATCTGTTACTTCTCCTATGTCCCCTTAATGCTTTCATCAAAGGTCTGCACCTCTCCCCGACATAGCTGAAGTCATCTTGGTCATTAAAAACAGTTTGACTACATATTAATTTTTCTTACTGAGTAATTTTCTTCCATTGCTAAGTAACTTACCATTGAGTTATAATAACCCATGAAGAGTATATTAGTTATTTTAAACTATCAAATATTCTGTGGTGGAAAATTACTGCTTCAAGATAAAGTTAAAAAGGCAGAATTTTCAACTGCTCCAATCTCTTAGGGTGGTGAAACCAGTCCTTGACAACCTCATACATATACTATTTAACGATTTCTCTTCAGAATATTTACTCCAAATTGTAGCTGAGCCCCTTGTGATTTTAATGCCCCTAGTATTTTTGACAGCTAGAATTAAATAATTTAATTTTTAATCACGTCTTTGTTCACATGTTAAGCACTTTTCCTACTCAACTCTTTTGTTCTCACCAGTGCACTCAAGTTGCTGATGTACTATCTCTTTGTCAAGCAGGAAATAACTACAGGTTCACCAGGAGAATTTTTGAGTTTGTTTTGCAGAAGGAAAGAATATCTTCAAAGTAGCTGAGATGAGCTGTTGACACTCAGGAGTCTGCTATAAAAAATCATCATCTATTACTAAAGATATATAGACTTCTCTGTCAGTTCCCTGGAATTCTCCTTCCCCTATGCCCTAGCTACATAAAAACTCCCTACTTTTGTTTTTAGGGACAGATGGATTTGTGAGATCTTGCTCTCCCATTCTGTCGCCTCAGTCAAATTGAATACACGTTTCTTTATCTCCAAGAACCAGTGTCTCAATGTTTTGGCATACTAGCACATTAATACACACACCTGAATTTTGGGCTGTGATTCTGCAACAAAATCATTTAGCTGTTTGTCTGAAGGGCAAACTTCCTTTGATCCTTGGTCTCTTCTGGGTTCTCCTGAAGGTGATAAGGCCCTTTTCTTTAACTTCAATCCCTTCTCTTACAAATGAATTTCAAGACCCAGTTCAAAGCTGTGGGGCCCTGGCTGGTGTGGCTCAGTTGGTTGAGTTTCATCCCATGCACCTAGAGTTTGCTAGTTCCATTCTTGGTAGGGCCCATGCCTGCCTTGGGGGTGGGCTCAATCCCCAGTAGGGGTTGTGCAGGAGGCAACCAATCAGTGTTTCACCGATTGATGTTTCTCTAACTCATCAATGTTTCTCTCTCTTTCCCCCTCTCCCTCTAAAATATCAGTAAAACCATGTAAATAAAAGCAGTGGGAAGCTAGGCTCTCCCCTTTGGTGAAGTATATAAAAAAAATACATAAAATAAAACAAAAGAGGAGGTTTTCCATGGCATGGGCCATGGACCAGCATTTTATTTATTTATTTATTTATTTATTTTTACAAGGAAGAGAGTTGTTGAATCCAAGGCTTCATGCCCACCTCTCCAGGACTCTATGGGAGGTCTCTTGAGTTCTGTGTCAGACATATTTGATAACCAGTTCACACCTCACTCTGCCCCTTTTCCTCTCAAGATGCCCTGTCCAGTTGCCCCAGCCGGTTGCTCCAGGCCACAGACCTTGACTCTGGGGTCTAACCCCAATTTGCCCTGCCTTTTACGGGTCTTTGGGCAGCCTTATCTCCTCTGTGGCTATCCCCTTCTCCCCATCAAGTCTGCCTTGCTGCCAAGAGGCGAAGGGCATGCCTCTCAGATATAATTGTTTACTGTCCCCATAGTTTTCCCTTGCTCTGGTAAGATCCCTGGTAAGACCCTTACTAGAAAAGCAAGTTATAAAGGGAACAATCCAAATTTTTAGGGACCAGCAGCTCTCACCTGCAGATGGTCCAGATCTTGGCTTACGCTGCTTCCTCATGTCCTCTGCCCAGATGTGAGTGCCGCAGACATGGATGTAGAAACGGACTAATTCGAGGTTGCACTTAGTGAAAATTTCCATGTCCTGGCCTTGGCTCTCTCTGGGAAGTTGGCTCAGTAGCAGCCAACTTCCTAGCAGGTGGAACAAGAACAGGCGCAGCATCCTGGACCTTATCTCTCTTGCTCTGGGCATTTCAGCCTTTGTCTAGAGACTGTAGCTGCTGCCACCTACCAGCCTATGCCAGTATGCCAGTCCTGGACTTCAATATACTTTCCCTTGGCTCCACCAAGCTTTTATAGCTCTCAGGCTACCACTTAGACCTTGAGGCAATGGTCCAAGCTCCACCTCTTTCCCCACCCAGCTCCTTGTAATCCACTACCCCTACTCCTCTTCCCCAGCTCTAATTTATCTTTCCAACCTTTCTTCCATTTGCCCATCTTTCTGTTCTTGGCCCTCTTATAGTTGTATTTTTCCCCCTCTTTCCTTATCCTCAAGCCATTTTGTATACTTATGTAAAGCTAGTCAATATTTGAAGTATTTCCTTTATTATAAAGCTAGGCTGGCCATTACATTAAATTTATCAACAAAAATAAATAGAAATTGCCCAGCAGGTGTGGCTTAGTGGTTGAGCGTCAACCCATGTACCAGGAGGTTACAGTTCAATCCTTGGTCACGATACATGCCTGGGTTGTAGGCTCAATCTCCAGTATAGGGCGTGCAGGAGGCAGCTGATCAATGATTCTCTCATATCATTGATGTTTCTCTCTCCCTCTCCCTTCCCCTCTGAAATCAATAAAAATATATTTTAAAAAATAAACAGAAATTATTCATACTCTTACAACCTAGAGTTCTCCAGTATGAACATTTGCTGCATAACCTGTTGGTCTAAATAAGATTATAGTTAGATTAATGAGTATAGTATGTGGTATATCAATCCATAAAAATATAATGAAATTATAAGATATTGACAAGAGAGGGTAAACTGATGAATTTTTATCTAAATCGCAGTAGAAACATTAAAATTCTCAATGCATCACTTTAGGCTTGTGCAATATCATAAGTTTGCCATGCACTTTCTCCACTGACTTTCCTCCAGTTCCTCTGGGAGCTGGTTTGATAGCAACCCAGTTTCTTGAATACTTTAATTTGATGTTTCATTTTATATTTCAGAGACTAGAGAACACAGACACACACACACACACACACACACACACACACACACACACAGAAACAAACCATAAAAGAAAAGGGGGGAAAAAAACAGTAGAATCCCACAATTACAAGAAGAAAATTTTGATAGTACATGCTACAGCATAAAAATCATGTGAGTTTTTGTTGTTTTTACTGTATCCTGTGTTTGCTGTATTTGGTGAGGTAATCTTTTTTCAATGATACAAACCTTTTTATTTTATTTGCTTAGAAACATTCCCTGGATAACATTTATTAGGTAAAAGAGGGTTTGGTAGAAAAAAACCTATAGTTGCATATGAAACAGTCCTTAAGCATATGATCTGGGCATCACATAGACTTCTTAAGCCAGTTTCAAAATACATGTTTCTTTCCAGGCACAGCAACAATGCATCCGAAGATTTTCTTTTTAAATAAGATACACATTGCTATGTAAAATAATTTTTTATATACATGCAAGTGGGATCTTTCTTCTGTCCATATTTCAAACTTAAACATTTAATTGTGAAATCTTCCCTTGACATAGTGTTGAAATACAGAATTAAAAAGATTACATAGTTTTGCCCAAGCCAATTTGGCTCAGTGGATAGAGCGTCAGTCTGGGAATTGAAGGGTCCCGGGTTCAATTCCTATCAAGGGCATGTACCTCAGTTGCAGGCTCTTCCCTGGCCAAGGCCCTGGTTGGGGCATGTATAGGAGGCAACCAATTGATGTGTTTCTTTCACATTGATATTTCTCTCTTTCTCTCTCTTCTACTCTCTCTAAAAGTCAATGAAAAAATATTCTCAGATGAGAATTTAAAAAAAAAGGTTACATAGTTTTTCTAATGGACTTGGAGCCAGTATAATATATAACTGTTAATGGCTTCAAAAAGAATACAGTAAGAAAATATATTAGGCCAACCAGAAATTTTCACATAGCCTTCTCTTTAGACATTTTTAAAAGGATCTTTTCAAAATTTCAATAAGAACCTCTAGACTAATAAAATAAGCAGTGGGTTTGGTAGGAAAAAATAAAATTTATATATGTAAAAGCCTAAGTGACCATCCAAGCATTTGACCATCTAACCCAGGGGTGGGCAAACTTTTTGACTCAAGGGCCACAATGGGTTCTTAAACTGGACCGGAGGGCTGGAACAAAAGCATGGATGGAGTGTTTGTGTGAACTAATATAAATTCAAATTAAACATCATTACATAAAAGGGTACGGTCTTTTTTTTTAGCTTTATTCATTTCAAACTGCCGGATCCGGCCCACGGGCCCTAGTTTGCCCACGGCTGATCTAACCAATAGCTATGATGTGCAATGATCACCAGGGGGCAGATGCTCCAACTGGTAGCTATGATGTGCACTGGCCACCAGGGGGCAGACACTCAACACAGGAGCTGCTGAGCTGTGGTGACTTGGCAGCTGCAGTCGCGAGTGATGCACCCAGAACCAGAGAGGAGGAAGCTCGATTACGGGGTTTGTCACTCAAGAACCGCCCTCACGCAATCTGGGACCCTTCGTGGGATGTAGGAGAGCCAGTTTCAGGCCAATCCCCGCAGGCCAGGCTGAGGGGATGGGCACAAATCTGTGCATTGGGCCTCTAGTAAGTTAATAAGCACGGAATATGTATCTTATTATGCAAAAATAGTATATACACTGGCATATTTCTCTTTTGCTGTACCCAATATGTATGATCACTATGTAGGGATCATATGAGCAGGGCCACAAGAAAGCTAGACCAGTCAAGCTTGATACCTTCTCCTCCGTAGCCATTCCACTCCCAGTTTATATGTTTTAGGGACCTGCCATTAGGGATATGTATGATAAAAAGTTATAACTTGTTGAGAGATATGTTTGATACTAGAGGCCTGGTGCATGAAATTCGGGGCCTTCCGGATGCCGGCTGGAGCTTTCATTCCCCACTGCTGGCTGCAGAGCGGGGGCCAATCTTCATTCCGTGCCACCCCCTGGTGGTCAGTGCACGTCATAGCTAGCAATTGAACTCACCGTCTCCTGGTCAAACTCCCGAGGGGACACTTTGCATATTAGCCTTTTATATATATAAGTAATTTCCCTATCCATTCAGCTTATTCCCAGGCAACTAACCCTCACTTAAGTTCACTGAATTAAGTTCTAGAGATATTTAACTGGAAGTCCAGGAGCACTAAGTACCTTGTCATTATGAAGATAGATCAGGGAGGGTGAAGAGCAAGAATCTGGTGGAAGATTTTGGGAATAATTCCATTGAATTTTTTACTTAACAATTCCAAAAAATTGATAAAATTGAAATTTCTGAATACTTTAAATGTCTTATAAAGAGCTAATATAAGGATGTGCTAATTAACATTGTGAGAAACAAATGTGTATTATGGAAAAGGAGATATGTTTTGTAACTTGTCTAAGGTTTTAGCCAGTTTTAAAAAATTTATATTTATTGGGGTGACATTGGTTAATAACATTATCTGTTCACCACTCAAAGTCTAATCTTTGTCTCTCACCATGTATTTGACGCTCTTTACTCTCTTTATTCTCTGCCCATTCCTCTTCTCTCTGGTAATCACCCTTATACTGTATGTGTCTATGAGCTTGTCTTTTGTTCATTTATTGCTTTCTGTTTTATAGCTCACATAAGAATGAAATCACACGTTTTTTTGTCCTTTTCTGTCTGACTTATTTGGCTTAGCATGATACTCTCAAGATTCATCCATATTGTTGCAAATGACAGTATTTCATCTTTTCTTATTCTAGCAAATGTTTTATTTTTTTATTTTTAAAAGTAATTTTTTATTCTTAAAAGTATTACATATGTCCCCTTTTCTGCCCCATTCACCCCTTCTGGCCTGCCCCTGTTTCCCTTCCCCAGGCCTTCACTACCCTATTGTCTGTGTCCATGGTTATGCATGTATGCATACAAGTTCATTGATTGATCTCTTCCCACACGTCCAACCACCTTTGCCTTCCCTTTGAGATTCCACAGTCTAGTCCATGCTTCGATGTCTCTGGATCTATTTTGTTCATCAGTTTATTTTGTTCTTTAGATTCCACATATGAATGAGATCATGTGATATTTGTCTTTTTCTGACTGGCTTATTTCACTTAGCATGATACTCCCAGGTCCCTCCATGCTGTCTCAAAGGGTAAGAGATCCTTCTTTCTGACTGCTGCATAGTGTAAATGTACCATGGCTTTTTTATTCACTCATCCACTAATGGGTACTTGGGCTGTTTCCAGATCTTAGCTATTGTAGATTGCCCTGCTATGAATATAGGGGAGCATATATTCTTTCTGATTGGTATTTCAGGTTTCTTAGGTTAAATGCCTAGAAGTGAGATCACTGGGTCAAATAGCAGTTCCATATTTAATTTTGGGGGGAAGCTTCATACTGTTTTCCAAAGTGGTGTAGCAGTCTGCATTCTCACTACCAGTGTACTAGGATTCCCTTTTCTCTACATCCTCGCCAGCACTTGTCATTTGTTGATTTGTTGATGGTAGCCATTCTGACAGGTCTGAAGTGACACCTCATTATCATTTTTAATTTGCATCTCTCTGATGATCAGTGACTTTGAGCATTTTTTCATATGTCTTTTGGCCATCGGTATGTCCACTTTGGAGAAGTGTCTGTCAGTGATGGCGAACATTTTGAGCTCGGCGTGTCAGGATTTTGAAAAACCCTAACTTAACTCTGGTGCCGTGTCACATATAGAAATTTTTGGATATTTGCAACCATAGTAAAATAAAGATTTATATTTTTGATATTTATTTTATATATTTAAATGCCATTTAACAGAGAAAAATCAACCAAAAAAATGAGTTCGTGTGTCACCTCTGACACGCATGTCATAGGTTCGCCATCACTGGTCTGGGTTCTCTGCCCATTTTTAATTGGATTGTTTGTCTTCCTTTGCTAAGTTGTATGAGTTCCTTATATATTTTGAGTATTAACCCTTTATCAGATGTGTCATTGCCAAATACGTTCTCCCTTACATT